GATAGGACAATATTTGGTCGAGATACAACTATTGAAATTCTGGAATCTGAGGGAAAAAAAAAATCTAAATATTGAGAAAATCATCTTTAAAGTTGTCCAAATGAAGTTCTTAGCAATGCATATTACTAATCAAAAATTAAGTTTTAATATATTTACAGTAGGAAATTTACAAAATATCTTCATGGAACATGATCTTTACTTAATATCCTAATGATTTTTGGCATAAAAGAAAAATCGATAATTTTGACCCATACAATGTATTGTTGGCTATTGCTACAAACATACCCCAGCGACTTAAGACTGCTTTTGTGCTCCAGGGTCACATATACGAATTAATGCAGTTTTTAAACTGAGTTTAAATATTATATTTCAAAAACCAATGAGTGAATGCATGTGTGTGTGAAATCAGCTTCTCCTTTCATTAAAGCAGAATGATGAATAAACAAACAAACAAATAAAATAAGTAAATGATAAAAGGCTAAAATTAAAACAAAAAATTTCATTTAAATTCTTTTATAATATAATCTGTAATGAAAGTTTTTGCATTTAATTCTAAAGGAATTTTCATTAAAAGTGAATTTTTCACTCCTCACAACACAGTGAAGGTTAGTAAAAATAAAAAAAATTCATTTTTAAAGATGATTACATACTTTCATCTATTAAGTTTCAAGAGTTCTATTTATTTATTTATTTAGATGATAATATAGTTTGTAATTAAATATTTTGATATTTTTTCACTAAACGTGAAACTTCCAGTATACATGAAGACTTTAAAACGTTTTTATTAAAGTAGAAAAAAAAAATTAAAGATTACATATTTTTAGTTTTGATAGTTCAATTTTCAGTTTATATGTCTGATAATATACAGTCATTTGTAATGAAGGATTTTGCATTTGATTATAAAAGAAGAGTTTTTACTAAAAGTGAGACTTTTGTTCACCACTATACACAATGACTTAAAAAAAAATTAAGATGATTACATCCTTTCATCCATCAAGTTTCAAGAGTTTACATATGGTTTGTCAGTTTGAAGGGCCTTCTCACTAGAAACTGCAACAAACGATCACATTTATCCTGAAAACCATCACAAGCGTGAATTAGTCAGTGACTGAGATGTCCGAGGGATCCTTACCTGAGGTCTTCAGGATAAATGAACCTGCTTAAGTATTGACCTTCCCAGAGGGAAACCGAGAGAAAGTGAGACCCGCAGCGAGCGTAACGTCAAAAGGACCCGCCAGGCCGAATTCCAAAAAGTTATCCTCTCTGCTTTTCTGTCGATGGAGGCAAAATCCTTTAAAACAGGCCACACAGAACAAATGCACTTGAGCTTGATGCTGTGGGAGGCACGTGACCGTTGCACGCCGGCCGGGTCCGCGCTCGGGGTTTGGAGGGGGAAGGCTCTTTTTGTTGTTGTACTGGCCGTTCTGGAACTGTGATGTGCAGAGGCTTGCAGTACTGCTGCGGTCAATGCAACATGCTGAAGCGCACACTTTCATTCAGCCGTGCATGTGGTGACACACCGTGAGTGGACACATGATGGTGTCGCTTATGCACATTTTCACTCCCATCACATGTCCATGACTCTCTTTCGACAGTGCCGCAATGACTTTGATGAGATAGATGAAATGGCTTATTAGTAGCCGAAATGTTTTCATGCATGAGAAAATACTAATGTGGCTACAGTGCAGTAATAAAAAAAGTAATGCAAGATCAGAAATCTTGGATAATATACCGCACTGTGAAAAAGATTTTTCTAAGTTGTAAATAAAACAAAGATTAGAGGGTGTATTACAAGAAAATTCTATTTCAGTCTTTCTACTGCAAAATTTCACGTATAATTCAATGTTACTTGATGCTTCTTTGTTATTATTTGTGAAATCTACCAGCAATTTCTGAATTGATTAAAAAGTGTTTCTGTTTTTCAATGCATCATATTATTTTTGTCTGATCATTCAGAAGTTTGTATGGAAGAAAAGTTTAAAATTAAGTTCAGAAAAAAATGAAATGCGGGTTCTTGCTCTTTTAAGTATTTAAAATGTCTCAGATGTTTTTTTTTCCTTAAAAAAATCCCCTAGAGAAATAACGTCCATAGCATTCATTAAGAGTACAGATCTATAAAATGTACATATTATTTGAATTTTGATCATTTGATAAGAAACGTGGTAAGAGTTCATTTTGAGATCTCTGACTTTTTAATCTGAGCAAAGTTTAACATTGCCGAGTCTCTGAAACTCCAGAGGTTACTGATATTTTTTAGGAAAATGTCATTTTGAAAAGTCATTTATTTGATCAAAAATTCAGTAAAAGCAGTAAAATTGTGAAATATTATTACAATTTCAAATAACAGTTTTCTATTTGAATATATTACGCAATTTATTTCTTTGCGGCAAAGCCGAATTTTCAGCATCATTACTCCAGTCTTCAGTGTCACGTGATCCTTCAGAAATCACTTAAATGCTCATTTGCTGCTCAAGAAACATTTCTGATTATTATCAATGTTGAAAAAAAACAGTTGTGTTGCTTCATAGTTTTGTGGAAACGGACACATTTTTCCAGGATGAATAGAAAGTTCAAAAGAACAGCATTTATTTGAAATAAAAATCTTTTATAACATTATAAAAGTCACTTTTGACCAATTTAATGCATCCTTGCTGAATAAAAGTATTAATTTCTTAACAAAATTAGTACTTATTTTAAAATAAACGACAGAAACTTTGTCTTTTTGATACAGTGCTCACATCTGAATTTAAAATACACTTAGACAGAATAACAGAATAAACGGTGCCGGAGTAACTGTGGTGCTCATGTGGGTGAAACTGGTTCGCGTCTGGGCTGCAACATGTCAACAACTGTCCTGGATAAGGTTAAAGGCTCAAGCTCTCAGAGTCAGACGGTGGTGGCCATTCTCACGCATGAGTTCACAGACGGCAAATGAGCCGATCGCTCAGGCTGCAAAACATGGAAGAACAGTCAGGAAACACTCTTTTATAACATTATAAAAGTCACTTTTGACCAATTTAATGCATCCTTGCTGAATAAAAGTATTAATTTCTTAACAAAATTAGTACTTATTTTAAAATAAACGACAGAAACTTTGTCTTTTTGATACAGTGCTCACATCTGAATTTAAAATACACTTAGACAGAATAACAGAATAAACGGTGCCGGAGTAACTGTGGTGCTCATGTGGGTGAAACTGGTTCGCGTCTGGGCTGCAACATGTCAACAACTGTCCTGGATAAGGTTAAAGGCTCAAGCTCTCAGAGTCAGACGGTGGTGGCCATTCTCACGCATGAGTTCACAGACGGCAAATGAGCCGATCGCTCAGGCTGCAAAACATGGAAGAACAGTCAGGAAACACAAAAGGATGTCACGTATCACTGAAGCCGAGTCAGTATGTACCTGCTGATGTCTGTACTCAGGCGGTGCTTTCAGTCTGGCTCTCAGCAGACGATGAGGGTTCAGAGTAGACTGAGAGATGACGGCCTGAAGAGACGAGAAAGACACTTCAGAGAACATGAAGAACAAGCTCACAGTAACACAAAAACAGCCTCCTTTACCTTCTCCACTGCTCTCGATACAGGATACCTGGGGATTCGATCTGATGAGGAAAAGAGTCATTGAACAGACACATTTATTCGATCGAGTAAGCCGCATTTGAAGCCATGGCAAAATGCAACACACATCTGTGACTGCCAGGGTTATTATTGGTTAATATTGAAAAAAAATAATCGTTGCTTGAATTAAAATAAAAAAAAAATGTATATGTAAAAATAAGAAAATATAATATAAAAATATATATATATATATTACAGCTAGTTGCCAAGGATAACAAAAATTCAAATGAAAGCAGATAACATGAAAATAAAATCTAATTTAAAATATTAACAAAAAATATAAATGTATCATTTATACTAAAATAACCCTGGTGACCACACATTATTTTATTAAGGCAGTAAACTGCTATTATTTTGTAACCAGAAACAAATACAACTATACTAATGCACTATAATTTTTTTATATCTACATTTTACCACATACTATATTATTATACTATATTTTATAATTTTATTATTATAATTATTAATATTAATAAATGAAGCTATTTATTGAACACTGCTATGAATCATTGTACTATTTATAAAAGCAATATGCATATGGCTTATAAACACTTTGCATAAAGGTCCTAAATACCATGTTGGCATTTTTTTTTGCAATTTAATAATTCAATGTTTATTTTACTTGATAACTGAAAACATAAATTTAGCATTATGTATTGACTAACTGTAGATTTTGGAGATTGATATACTTGGGTATCAACTGATCAACATTTATGCATTTGGGAGATGATTTTATCTAATGTGACTTAAAGGCATATTTCACCCGAAAAAGAAAATTCTGTCATCATTTGCTCACCCTCAAGTTGTTCCAAACCGGTACGAGTTTCTTTCTTTTGTTGAACATAAAGGAAGATATTTTGAAGAATGTTAATAATCAAACAGTTCCACAGTATGGAGAAAAAAAATACTATTTAATTAAGTCAATGGCCATCATTCTTCAAAATATCTTTTTGTGTGTTTGGAACAACTTGAGGGTGAGTAAATGATGACAGAATGTAAATTTTTAGTGCATTCAAGGAATATGTTTAGCCAGTATGAATTGAACCCATGACACTGGCGTTGCAGGCACCATGCTCTACTAATTGAGCTTTAGACAGCTGGAGGAAGCATCACTCACCACGTCTTCCGCAGTAGATGAAGGCCAGCACAATGAGGAGGACGAGAAGAGCACAGGGGATTCCAGCGGCGATCCCAGCGATAGCAGCTCCACTGAGTCCAGCAGCTGAACAACACATCAACACAACCAGCTTTACAAATCATACACTACCATTAGGGACAAATTTGGGATTAGTAAGAATTTTTTATTTTAAAGGGGTCATATGATGCGATTTAAATTTTTCCTTTCTCTTTGGAGTGTTACAAGCTCTTGGTGCATAAAGAAGATCTGTAAAGTTGCAAAGACTAAAGTCTCAAATCCAAAGAGATATTCTTTATAAAAGTTCAGAGTCAGCCACACCTACCTAAAACGGCTCATTCTAACACGCCCCCACATATCTACCTCACTATGTGGGAAGATTTGCATAACAACGCCCAAATGTTCACGCAAATAATGATCTTTAAAATAGCATCATATGACCCCTTTAAAAATCTAACTGATCCCAAACGTTTGAACAGTAGTGTATATTTGTAGTATGCATTACATAATTACATTACATATGCAGATTTTAGTTTTTCCTGATCCCTCCCTCTGATCCTTAAAATTAAAAAGGCGTTTTATTTTTTGGGCTGGAAGACTTTTATGTAAATGGTCTGTTCACATGGAAAATGAGCAACAAGGCATAGTTGCACAAACACACAGGTTCAGGTTTGCTTTTGGCCTGATGTTTTTGTTTTAATTGCTCTATTCTGCTTAAAAAGCTGCATCCCACTGTGACCGATTCATTAAAGTATCAGTGCAGAAATAAGCTGTTAAACCATTTTTACTGGTTAATTTCAATCAATGGTATTTTTGGACTAAAGATAACAAAAAATTTCCTCAAAAGATCAAGAAAAGTTTGATTCCTGATGATATGAGCCCTTTAAAGCTTATTCAGATTTGTGATTCTCGTCACCTGGTCCAATCCGATGTTGCTCGGACTGTTCTCCTGCGGTTCTGCCGGCTTTAGGGATGATTCTGATGTAGTACGTGCATTCTGGGTGGAGTCCTGAGACGGTGGTGGCTCTGGCGGAGGCCGGCTTTGATTGGATGGTGCGGAAGTCTGATGCGATGCTGAGTTTGGGTTGAGATGGGCTTGAGAGCTCTGGGCCCTTCAACTGGATATCAAAGCCTTAAAAATACAATGCACTGATATGCAAACTATTTTCAATTATTCACAAGCAAAGCTTGAATGGAAGCAACACGTGATTATTAGCATGTACCTGTAATAACGGAGGTGAGAGGAACGTCCCACGTTAGAGTTACTTCTGTTCGATCATTACTCAGGAAAACACTCGAGTTTGCGATTTGAGGGCCTTAAATTCAAAAAAAGATTGAAATGGCATATTTTGAGAATTGCATACATCAAGATTTACTGTGGATTAATAGAATAGAATGAACAGAATTCAAAAAACATGCACTAACTTTCAAACCATTTGAATGTTTAAGTCTCTTAATTGCCCAACAAGACTGCATTTATTTGATTAAGAATACAGTAAAAAATTTTAATATTGTGAATTATTATTACAATTTAAAATAAGCATCTTCTATGCAAATATATTGTAAAATGTAATTTATTCCTGTGATGCAAAGCTGAATTTTCAGCATCATTACACCAGTCTTCAGAGTCACATGATCCTTCAGAAATCATTCTGATATTCTGATTTGCTGCTCAAGAAACATTTCTGATTGTTATTAATGTTGAAAACAGATGCACTGCTTAACACTTTTATGGAAACTATGACTTATAATTAATTCAATGCATCCCTGCTGAAAAAAGTATTCATTTCTTTAAAAATAAAAAATCTTACTTGACCCTAAACTTCTAAATAGTAGTGCAGGCAGACAAAATGTGCCTTTAAAAGTCAATATACAGTGTGTTTTGTTTGCATTTTATTCTAAGTTTTCCAGTGGTATAGACTTTCGAAAGGTCAAAAACCCATTATTGCTAATGATAAACTATAACGGCTCCATACCCAGCAGTGTAGTGTCCACAGTTTTATTGCCAAGAGGGTTGATGGCAGTGCAGGTGTAGGTGTCGAGGTCTGTAGTGACATTAAAATCATAAATAAACAGTTGAGTTGTGTTTGTACTGATCTGGTATTTGGGCCCAGTTTGCAAGTGGTTTCCATCCTTGATCCAGTGCACAAGAGCTTGAGGTGTTGCTTCAGCAGAGCAATGAATCACAACCAATGTCTGTTCATCTTGACTCATGCTGGTGAAAATTACTGGGAGGAAATCCACAGGACCGCCTGCAACATAATGCAATGAGATAAAGGTGCCGTTCCAATGCCTTACTGTCCTCAAAGCATCCTACTTGAAATGAATGAAGTGAACAATTTGGAACACTCTATATAGGCAGCAACACAAATAGCACTTTTCATCTAAAGCCATCCCAAAGAAGCACAAAATCACTTTCACAGACTTTTACATTAAATGTTCCCTCCTATATTATAAATTAATATATAAATAATAAATCAATGCATAAGAAAGAATAAAAAATTATAAAAATAAATACAGAAAATAAATATACAAATAACAAAGAATAATTAATTCAGGACTCATTAAAAATTATGTGTTAAATATTTAATTGAAAACATTTTTTTCTTTTTTTTTTAAAGGCACAATATGTAATTTTCGCCGCTAGAGGGCGCGTATTCAAAACAAACAAAGAAACAAAGGCGTAGTTTGATGACACCGTGACTGAGTGTGGAATCATGGGAGTTGACCTGCCAAACTCAATCCGAGCAGCTGAGTTCTTAGCCATCTTTAAGAAACGACTAAAAACACATCTCTTCCATCTTTATTTGACCCTCTAACTCCAGCAATCTCTATTCTAATTCTATTCTAAAAAAAAACGTGTCCCTTTTAGACTTGCACTCTATTCATCTGCTGCTTGTTTTCTTTAAAAAAAAAAAAAAAAACGAACACTTGCTTTATAATCTTTTGTACTCTATCTGTTTTCTTTTCATTTATTATACAATTAACAAAAGCAAAAAAGACCTCTAACACTAGCTTGCTCTATTCTTTTTCTATTCTATCGGTTTTCTTTTTATTTATTATATTATTTAAAAAACAC